TGTGACACATGAGCAACCTGTAATTGACAGGATATGACAAAGAGAGAGAGAGGAGTTATCTGGAAGTCAAAGGTTTACTTGTAATAATTTCTAATCCACTGGTTTACATGTGAATACATTATTCATTCTGTATCTAGTGTAATAACTACAACAACAACTACTACAAACACTCTACGTGTGAATAAAGCATGTGGTGACCTGGGGCACCTTGTGGCCCCCCTTGGAGTACCTAAGGTCTGCATGTATGTTCTGAATATAAAACTAGTCAACAATAGGGTGAAAACTTGTGTCTACTATTGTACGTCCCAGAACTGATTATTATTACATTGTTCTAGAAGTCTGTATTTAACAAGTAGCTCTTTGTGTTACTAAGTGGCCTTGAAGTAGCACTGAGTTTCAAAAGGTTGGTAAGCCCTGGACTAAAGACATCAATTTATAAGACATGACCATGTTTGCCAAACTTGACTATGACTTGTGAGTATGTTTATAAAATCCTCTGTCAGTATACAATGCACTTTGTATAGAGGATAATTTTATTCCAGAAATTAAATAAACATTTTGAAGTTGAATTACCTACTGAGCTCTGAGCACAGTATATGAACAACCTAAGAAGTGACTTTCTTCAGTTGTTAAATATGCACTCCACTTAAACACAGTCTCAATGGAATTAATAAAATAGTGAGTTTGTGTGTGTATGTTGACATTCTGTTTAACAAAAATCCTCTGAACCATGAGGCAGGAAGAGAAAAATCAGCCAATATCTCTAGTCACAGTGTTGCCATGGTGACGTGATGACAAATGAGCTGCTCCATGTGTCATAGCAAAAAAAATAAAATAACTGGTTTTCAATTACATTTCTACAACATGAACATAAGCTCAGGAGGAGCTTCTTACAATCTAAAACACAACAACATTTTAAAGCCTCCAATCATAGTATTTAACCAAAACTTTTATGGCTTTTCTGAAATGTTCTAATTTAAAATTATTGTCACTTTATCAGCACCACTGTTTGGACCAACTCTTCACCTCTTATACATTTCAGTTATTTTTGGTTGTTGTCATTTTAGGAAAATAAAAAATGTGGTCCATTTCCCCCAGTTGCTGCAACATTAACATTTCCTGTTCACAAAGACCAGCTTCAAAAAATAAGTATAATCTATATATAAATATCCAGGTTGCCTTGACAACATTTAGTATAGGCCACACAACTGTGTTACCATGCAGAGTGCATTGCATAAATAATGATACCAGCTTACTAAAATCATAATGCGGGGGCACGGCAGAGGTTAGTGCTCAGCTGTAGCAGGAAAAGCAGGGGAGTGGCGTCGCGGGTGCAGCACTGGACGCAGGTGAGCGCAATTTCAGTAATCAGACCTCTCATCATATTAGTAGGAGCCCAGATCAGAGTGGGAGGACGGACTCAGGAGTGTGCACAGGCAGCTACAGCTACTGAGAGAGACTGTTGCTGAAGCACAGCAGGTGCACTGTTCATTGATAAATAAAGGACATTAACCGTTACAAGTCAGTTTTGTGTGTCAACCATTTGTTACAAATAAATTAAGTCTTTTTTAAATCAGCTTCTTTAAATTATACTGACAAAAGAGACAAGTAAATTTAAGTCACTGTTTCTCAAAGTAAGGGGTGAGTCTCCTCTGGGAGAGCAAGGTGGGCACAGCAGGGCAAATACATTTTAAATTAATTTCTTTATCTTCTGTATTTGCCCCACTCTGGGTAATTGATTAACATTGTATTTCTTTTGTTTAATTCAAATACAACTTTCTAAAGAAATTAAAGTATTCTAAAGTATGAGGTTCAGTGGAGAATTAAGAGAAACAAGAAATCCGGCCCCAATGTGTCTTGCGTCTCTGCAGAACTCTGTTGTACAGTACCTGTGTAGGTGTTGCCACTGTGCAAACAAACATGAAATCGAAAAGAAGGAGGATGACAACTGCCCTGACACCGACAGTGAAGACTAACATTTCATGTGTAGCCTCACAGTTGTATTGCAATGGTTGCATTGTTAATATAACAAGTCATTTCCATATGCTGTTTTGTGTTGTTTTATATATTGTACATACTGTATGTATATATGTTTTAAAAAAGTTTTTTTTTTATGATTGATGAGTGTTGTATTTAGTTAGCGAATAAATGTAAGTTTAACGTACCTCGTTTTTTTTTTATGAAGTTGAGATCGTGTAGTTCCCAGACGTCGGAGTGAGATGAAACGATAAATGTGTTCACCTTATAGCCTATCTGAGAAATGATGTAATCTTTATTGAATTTCTGTAAAATAGCAGCGTCCTCATACCAGGGTTCAGTGACCAATATCAAGTCACTAAACAAATACATTCTTCTTATCTTTCAGTCAACCTGAGCTAACCCAGTTAAAAGCATAGAGGTTCATAAAAAAGGAATCAGAACACTGCTATAATTTTCCATTTAAGGTAGTGAGGCACCATGGGAGTTTTAAAGCTGACCAAGTCTTAATATATCATAAAAATAGGCCACAAAACCTAAAACAGGAGCAAGGATGTAATGTAATAAAAGTGCCACATTAAAGGTACGTATGTTTATTTTCTGTTAAATGCATTATTTTGGACTGAATGCAGTGGTAGGTCACATGTCTGTTATCCAGAAGATTAAGGGTTTGATTCCAGCTAATCTCATCCCTACTTTGAGTTACATCAGTAAGAGCATCTGATGTTTCAACTGTCAACTCACAATCATGTGCACTACCACTGTAGTGACCCCTGATGAAGAGACAAACCCAAAGCAATCCTTCATTGAACACACAAAATATTGGGGGCAGCAGAGCATTACTTCTTCAAGTCTAAAAATAGCTTTGCCAGCTGGGCTTTTAATGTGCTGTGCCCAGAGAGTGTAGGAATCAAGACGCTGGAGCTGGAGAAGGGTAACCTCAGGTTTTCACACGATACAAGCTATCCGCAAATAAAAATGTTATTTTTATTTCTAGCTATTGTTAAGACTTTTTTAAATTTCATAAAATATAAAATAGACACAAGAGGAAATAACAGGAGAAGCCTGAAACTGATCATAAAACAATCTCTTCAATTAAAGCTCAACACTCAAGCTTAATACATTTCCGAAGATAAAGAAAAAACTAAAATTGATAATTTGGTAGAAAATAACTATTTCTAGACCAGAGTGACATGACAACTGAAGGGACTTAATTAAAATGGTGTAAAGTGAAGCAAATTAAAATTCACAATTAATGGGAAAGAGGAAACAACAAATGTTTAGATGGAATAAAATAAAATGACTAAATGACAGTGATTTAGGGAGAAAAAAAGCTCTGGAGGCAGAGTGAGTGATGAGGGGGAGGACAGTTGAGTCAAGGTCACCGTTCTGGACCAATCGTTCACTATTACAATGCCTGTACAAGCTGTGACCGTAGCAAGACAAAGAGGAGATGAGCAATGAAGGACATGGAAAATACATGTATTAACTAATGTACTTATAAGCACACACGCATGCACACACACACAAAATAGAGACACACTTCCACTAGTGCACAGCCCACCAGGGCTGCGCTTTTTAATGCATGAAACAGTGCATCACAGCAAGCACTGTCATGTTTCTCATCAAAGCAGCAGCTGCCGAGGCCGAGTGCCTCAGTCATACAGTGACGACAGCAGAGGGTGTGTAAAACCACCTTCTCGCACCTTTAAAGGGACCACAGTCAGAACGGAGGACATCTCCTCAACCACTGCCACTGTCAGATGTGTTGTGAGGAGCATTTCTAAATTTCGGTCTAAACAACTTGTTCAAGATGCTTAATGTAAATGTTTTCCTTGATTAATATTAGTCTTTATTATAAGGCAAATGTAGTTTTTAAGCTCCCACACAAAATGACTTGTTGATGACTGCATTTGGCCCGTGGGCCTTGAGTTTGACCATTCAAACTGTGTTTTCAGCACAGGAGAAGCTTCATGGTTTGTGGTTTAAAATATTTATGTAATACTTCGTCAGTCTATCATGGATCACACAGGAATTTGTCTAGATCCTGTACTCACTGTGTAGTTTGGATTTCCTGCCTGGATCTTTAGCTCAGCCAGCACCCAGATGCCGTTGGTGAGTTTCATGGACTGATAGAGCATGTCCTGACCGTCCACAGTTCGCTTGGCTATGGTAAAGATGTTACTGGTCTGGAGTTTGTTAGAGGCTGTGTCTGTAAAAGGAGAGAAAAAATATACAAAATAATTAATAATTGAACTTACACACTGTTTTTTCCCAGGGTTTCTCATTCTATTTCTTTTCGGCTGCTACAGCATAGAAGACAAATGATTACGTCACAAATTGCTGTTATTGTTTTTCAACAGATGGTATTGAGAAAAAACTCCCAATTCTCACAGTCTGGAACCTTGTCTTAGTCTCTAGGTGCTGAAATGTGACTAAATCTTGTGCCAAAGTCAATGAAAACATGAGCGCTGCACCAAGGTGACATGCAAATTTGATTAGCTGGTAGCATTATGTGGGACACTTCACCACCAGGATGCTTCAACATCACCCATTAAAGAGAGTGTCACAACAGACATGGCTGTACATAACTTTTAACCCATTTTCATTTCCATACGTTTTTCCTGACTGAAGAGTTGCTCATTCATGTTCCGGGATTCAAGTTTTCCAGGATGCATGTGTATTTAATG